GTTGTCAATAATTAGAAGTGGAAAACTTGCAGTGGCAAACAGTCCAGTTCTTTTAAGTGATTAAGTCACGCTAATTTTTTGCACTAAGAGCAAACTCCAAAGTAAATTTAGTACTTGTACGTTTTAATCTTCTGGTTTTTCATCTAATTTTACGCAAATTTTACCAGTTAGGATGTTCACATTTCAACAAGGCAAATAACGAGGGAAAGCTATTTGCGCCCCCAAAAATACTTCTTTCCCATAATGTTGAAAAAAAGAAGTGAAATTTTAGAAACAGTGGTAAGTTACTTTGACAAATATAACATTAAAATTGCACTGAGCTGCCAGAACTTTGCTGATAAGCGTCTTCCCACAGCCACTTGGCCCGTGCAGAAGCACCCCGCGACCATGCCGAATAGAACTATTACGGAACAGTGTAGGATACTGAAACGAAGTCAATTTAAGCACACGTAGCTTATTATCACAATACATTGCGATTTTTAATAACAAAAGGAGGCGGCTCAGGCCCAAACACTCCCACGATTCTTGCTGAAAAAAGGCTTAAGGCAAATGAGGGCACTACTGGTGCATTTTCATATCCTTGCGATAGTTACTATGGAACTGAATTACGTAGTTCACCCACTCCATGACTTCTCTGTATTGTGATATCAACTAAAGAAAATTTTGCAAACATGTAAAGTCGACCTGCCGGCAACAAACTGCGCTGGGCGGATAAAAATGAAGCAAGAGCAACAATTTTCCCAGATTGTTTTGATACTTCTTCAGCAATTTTTCCCACAGATTGTTCAACAAACGCTTGTATGGAGACCCAAATGAAGAAATTAGAAACTAACAAGAATCGCCTGACTAGGTACAATTTTGTACCTTTTTCTAAAAACGGAACTTAAGCTGTTTAGAACAAAAGAACTGCTCAGACTGTGAGCATGGGGAACCAAAATTACTAATTTCACATCACGCGCAGTAATGCTAAGGGAATACCACAGGTAGGTCCGGAGCGGAATCCTAGAGCAGGAAGGAGAGGGACAGGTGGGAGGGGAAGCTCCTGCGAGACTGGCAGGGGTGGA